CACAAAAGAGGTTATAAGAAATAAACTGTCAAAGCTAAAGGTTCATAAGAGTCCCGGCCCTGACATGGTGCATCCCAGAGCGCTAAGAGAGTTGTGCAACAAGCTTCCTGAGCCCCTGAAGATCCTGTTCTGCAAATGCCAGGATGAGCAAAAGGTCCCCTGTGATTGGAAAATGGCTTATGCGAGTCCTATCTTAAAGAAGGGCGATCGTCACTCCACAAATAACTGTGGACCGGTGAGCCTCACCAGCATAGTATATAAAGTATTTAAAAGCATTATAAGAGATGCCATGATGGAACATCTACTACGAAACCACCTTGTAAAGGATTGCCAACACGGTTTTATGCCGGGGCGCTGCTGCTTAACACAATTACTCAAAGTACTGGACGTTTGGATCCAAATTCTAGAACAGGGCGGCAATATCGACAATATATACCTAGATTTTGCCAAGGCTTTCGACAGCGTACCCCATGAAAGGCTGAAAATTAAATTGGAAAGGTACGGGATTCGAGGAAATGTCCTGGCGAAGATTGGAGACTTTCCCCATGACTGCAAGCAGTGTGTGGTGATTAATGACACGAAATCATCATGCGTACCCATCACAAGCTGGGGTACCACAGGGTAGTGTATTGTGACCGCTGTTGTTTGTTTGCTTCTTAAATGACATGCCTGACGCTGTACACTCCTCCATACAAATGTTTGAGGATGACGCCAAGCTATTTCGGGAAATTAAGAACCAAGCAGACTGTGAAGAGCTGCAGAAGGATCTCTGTGAGCTTGAAGAATGGTCGAAGAAATGGCTGTTAATATTCAATGTACCGAAGTGTAAGAGGCTGCACCTGTTAAGTACCAACAGTAAGGAGGGCAGTCCCAACGGGACAGAGAAACTGTAGTGTATATTGACAATAAGCTGAAGTTATCGGGCCATTGCGAGAATAAGGTGATTCAGGCAACTAAATTATTAGGTCTCTGAAGAAGGTCGTTCAGATATCTAGACGGGCCTTTCTTCGTAACGATCTTCAAGATTGAGGTGCTTCCCCGTCTGGAGTACTGTCTGGAACCCGAAATATGGCTAGGGACTGTCAGTTGACTAAAAATGTCTAAAGAACGGTCGCTAGACTGGTGCCTGCACTTCGGAACTTCAGCTACCCTGAGAGATTAGAGCGCCTGAAATTGCCTAACCTTATTCCACAGACGGGCAAGGGGTAACCTAATTGAGGTATAGAAACATCTCAAAGGGCACCACTCAGTCGAGTGTCCTTACCTGGAGCCGCTTGCCCCACAAGGGGTCACAACTTAAGGTTGATGAAGCCGCAAGCCCAGAAAACTGTGAGGGGGCAACTTTTCTGGAGTGAGAGTTGTGAACTCTTGCAACAATCTGCCAGAGAGTGTTGTGACGGCACCGGGTGTGAGCTCCTTCACGACCAGATTTGATAAGCACTAGAACATGTTCAGAGAAATTCAGAAGCCAGTGTATGCCTAGTATCTGCCAACAGTGGTTAACAGAGACGTGACCGATCGCCCAAGCAGCTAATTAACCAATGAGTGGTGAAGAGGGTGAAAGAAAAAAAAAAGATAGACTAGATGTTACAATCCAGTAATAAGAGATACTGTTGGCAGGAAACAGCCGGCTGAGACTCCACCAAGTGATGGTGACAATGTACCGCCACATCTAAGGGTGAGTCTTGTTTCTACAGCAACTATTACTGAGATGTATTCATCAGTCTCTCTGTGTGTATCACAATAATTGTACTTACATGGTTATATAATGTGCGTACATATTTACGACCAGTTACACATCTTATACAGTAATTACTTACCGGTGCTCTAGTTCAAGAATCACTTATCACAGCTTGAGTCAAGGTGTTACTAAAGGTGGTACAGTATTCAAGGTGGAGGGTTGGTGATGCTCACACTCACTCGGCGTTAAGCAACACAAAAATGTTTGGTTCAAAAGACTGTTTCATGTTAACAGCTGAACTGATGACCAATGAAGAAAGTTGTTGTGTTATGTCAGGTGACTGAACCAATAAATAATTGGTCAGGTGAGGCCTGGTCTTAGGGCTATGTTGGCACCTGTTGAAACTGAAGTCTGTATGAAACAAGCCAATTAAAACTGGGACCCATAAAGACTGGAACCCATAAAGATGGGACCCATAAGACTTTAACCCATTAAGACTGCGACCCATTAAGACTGGGACCCATTAAGACTGGGACCCATAAAGACTGGGACCCATAAAGACTGGAACCCATTAAGACTGGACCCATTAAGATAAAGACTGGGACCCATAAAGACTGGAACCCATAAAGACTGGACTGCGACCCAAGAATGAGACAATAGGGACCCATTAAGACTGGGACCCATAGACCTGGGACCCATTAAGACTGGGACCCATTAAGACTGGACTGGGACCCATTAAGACTGGGACCCATAAAGACTGGAACCCATTAAGACTGGGATCCATAAGACTGGAACCCATAAAGACTGGAACCCATTAAGACTGGGACCAAAAGACTGGAACCCATAAGACTGGAACCCATAAAGACTGGAACCCATTAAGACTGGGACCCATAAAGACTGGAACCCATTAGACTGGGACCCAAAGACTGGGACCCATAAAGACTGGAACCCATTAAGACTGGGACCCATAAAGACTGGAACCCATAAAGACTGGAACCCATTAAGACTGGGACCCATAAGACTGGAACCCATTAAGACTGAGACCCATAAAGACTGGAACCCATTATAACTGGGACCCATTAAGACTGGGACGATAAGACTGGAACCCATAAAGACTAGGACCCATTGAGACTGGGACCAATTAACACTGGGACCCAAAAATGCTGGGACCCATAAGACTGGAACCCATAAAGACTGGAACCCGCTAAGACTGGAACCCATTAAGACTGGGACCCATAAAGACTGGAACCCATTAAGACTGGGACCCACTAAAACTGGGACCCATTAACACTCAGACACATAAATGCTGGGACCCATTAAGACTGGAACCCATTAACACTGGCACCCATTAAGACGGACCCATGAAGACTGGGACCCATTAAGACTTGGACCCAGTAAGACTGGGACCCATTAAGACTGGGACCCATTAAGACTGGGACCCATTAAGACTGGGATCCATTAAAACTGGCACCCATTAACACTGGCACCCATTAATACTGGCACCCATTAACACTGGCACCCATTAACACTGGCACCCATTAAGACTGGAACCCATTAACACTGGCACCCATTAAGACAGGGACCCATTAAGACTGGGACCCATTAAGACTGGGACCCATTAAGACTGGGACCCATTAACACTGGGATCCATTAACACTGGCACCCATTAACACTGGCACCCATTAACACTGGCACCCATTAACACTGAGACCCATTAACACTGGCACCCATTAACACTGGGACCCATTAAGACTGGGACCCATTAAGACTGGGATCCATTAAGACTGGGATCCATTAAAACTGGGACCCATTAACACTGGCACCCATTAACACTGGGACCCATTAACACTGGGACCCCTTAACACTGGGATCTACTTAGGTTAGGTTAGGTTTATACTGAACTTTACCAGTCACCGAGGAACTTACCAGAGGCGGACACAACACAGGAGAAACCTTGAGCTTTTCCTCTTCTGTTTGTCTTGAAAACAATATTCAAAAGGTCAGTGTCGCCTCCTTCACTGAGAGTTCCAAGGTTGCCGCAGAATCTGAGGGAACACAAAGTCGGGTGATAGGTGATTAAGAGTAATTAATACATTAGTTTATTATATCATATTGTACTTTTATCTTATATGTTGGTTCAGATTAATTAATGGATATAAAAAATAAATAAAGTATTGTATACTTTACTGTATACTTTACTGTAGCTGTTGGCAGTCGTGTGGGTGCCCCCGTCAAAAGCTCTCAATATTTAACAGAATAATGACAAGAGACGCCATTGTCTTCTTTAAAATATATCACCTGTTGTTTAATGTATTGCCGTCTTCAAGGAGGAGAACGTCACCCCTGCACCTCCTGGAATTCTTTAAATTGAATGTGGCGCAGTCGATGGAGATGGTGGAGTCTGAAGCTGATGCCTAAAGATATACATCTTGCCTTAGTATCATGTTTCAGAAAGATGATATAATGTTAAGTTTGAAATTATGGGCAGTACAGAGTTATCTTAAATGCATTTCAACACAATACACGCACACATATATATATATATATATATATATATATATATATATATATATATATATATATATATATATATATATATATATATAAAATCATCAACACCTCACCCCGCCAGGATTCGAACCCATGGCCCACTCTGTTATATTTCACACAAAGCCTGTTCAACGAGCTCGTTGAACAGGCTTTGTGTGAAATATAACAGAGTCTAGGACTGCTTTTAGTATCCTGTTGGTCCAGAGGTGGCCTTCCCAAGTCACAGTCGTGGGTCATGGGTTCGAATCCTGGCGGGGTGAGGTGACTATATGTAGAATTCCACGTGCTTTATTGGGCTAATGAAATATATATATATATATATATATATATATATATATAAACCACTGCTTTAGGCTAGATGAGTGAGAGTTATACCAACAGAAGAGACATCCCGATATCACCACTTTCTTCACGCAGGTAGATCAGACACTCACCTTGAAGGTCCACACACAATTATGGCGGTTGGGGTATTGGTTGGGAAAGTTCTTGGACTGAATCCCTACCGAAGTGCCGGGTTCTAGGGTGTGCTCTCCACAGGACACGAAACTACCTGTAATGATGTTATCACACAGACCTCATGAGTTAATTATACAATAATTATCTAATTCGCAAAGTTAATTTTTTTAAACATATAGAGGCCATGACAATCGCACTGATTACCTAACAATACAGTACTGTACTTGCAACCCAAACAACAGTGATGTAATGTACTGTGTCTCACTGAGTTAAAGACACCTTAAAACAGCAATTGTCGCAATGACATGGACGAGATTTACCACATGATATCTTACTTTGCTTTGGTTGAATCTGCCAATCATCGCCCCCCTTAGGTTGAATCTCCCAATCATTGCCCCCTTTGGGTTGAATCTGCCAATCGTCACCACCTTTACCAGTGTTCCTGTAATAGTATACAATGTAAGTTTATTTTCTTGACTGCCAGACGGGGGAGTATTAGGCAAAATAAAAATAAGAATTTCATACAGCACAGCAACAACTAACACTTTGGGGAAATGAAGAACGGCTAGGTGTTAACACAGTGACAATAAACTCAGAGTGACTTACTTGGCCACAGTGACTGTTGAAGCCTCGCTTCTGACGCCCCACACATACTGTAAATACACACAATGTAAATATTTATGCCTTCAGTAATAAGACTCTCTCTCTCTCTCTCTCTACTATTATTTAAATCTTGATAAACTTGTTAAATATATTTCATACTAATCTGTCTCAAAATGTTAATACAGTACAGTATAACATCACAATATAGCTTTTTATAACCAGTGTAATTATATTTCTTCCTGTAAACAATTAACATTGTCATATCTATTTGAGGTCCATTTTTGTTTTTCATTAAGTCTTCGCTGTACAAAATAAAGTCCTTCTCAGTCCTCTCTCTCTCATCCATGAACCTTGTGAATCATCTTCCTGGGAATCCCAAACAACACACAAAGTGGAACTAGTGTGTGTTGTTTCGGATTCACAGAAAGATGATTCACGGGGTTCATGAATGACGGAGTGGATTGACAGGACTCTTTTTGGCGGGTGTACATACATAAGTAATTGTCAGCGACACAACCATCCAGTCACGAGTTGTTGAGCATTTTCGTAGTGCTGTCACTCTCTGTTAGTTATTGTACGGTACCTTCCTATTGTGTCTGTACTTATTATTTGCTAAATAAATGCGTTCGATTGCGTGTTACACTGCATTACGATGAAAGTCTTCACAAAGGAACAGAGAATAGAACGACCCACCCACCGAACGACTGGTAAAGTGATAAGTGGTGGAACTATTAAATCAAGAGTAACCAGAGAGGATGAGTGTACGTTAAACTCAGCAAGACATACTGACCTGAACACTAGTACCGAGGCTCAGTAAGTGTTCCTATTGATCATACTGCAGGGTGAGGGTTACCAGCATGTTATACTTACTAGCATGGAGACCGCCCAAGCGAGTACTGAGTAGCGCATCCTGGCTTATGTGAGAAACAATGGACAACGTTACTGGGGTTCCCAAGTACTGGTTGGAGTGACTAGTGCTGGCTGTAGCTGATACCCCACTGTGCTGCCTCTACTCTTCCATCACCTTATAAAGGACAACGGGGAACGAGTTTACGTCATCCAGTGACACTTGTGAGTCTCCACTAACCCTAACCCACTCATCATCTCGCCTTTAATGTAAAGGTAAAAAGATTAGCTTCGAAATTACACAGGGTTATATAACGGCTTTTCAGCCTTAAAACTATTCAGAGTTGAAGGCTATTTCATTCACCTACAGTAAATGTAACGCCAGCTTATTTCACCTGCCGATTAAACACACTTGCTACCTGGGGAGCTGGTTAGGTAAGATTTACGGTGGCTATATCTTTAAGAAAAATTATATAGAAATTAGCAAAACAGAATCAGAATATTTCTCCATAATCATGATTTAAATAAAATTATAAGTATACTGTACATTAAGCGAACTCTTAGTACCATAATTTATTGTCAGTAGGGCGAATCCAGGGAAACCATAGGGGCCATGTCCCTCTCAAGTCAGCGGACGGGGGCCCAAACTATCTTCTGCCCCTCCAAGAGATGGAATTTTTTCTCCAAAGAGAGGAGTCAGTTACTCTCCAGATGGCACGGTGGCCACATAACATCCCTACACATCAGTATTCAGGATTTCTCGGCTTTTATCATTTAAATATAAGATTCAGTTGCTGCCAGACTCAATGTCATTACACACGTAGCCCCTAGTGCATGTGCAGTTTGTTTCCACCTTCGGACATAAAATAACGCAGATCATGAAACATTTAGGTGCTGAAATATCCGACCTTATACCAATGAAGTGAAAATCCTGCCGTAAGGTACGACATCACGAGTAGGAAGTATACATTTTTAAATACGTAAGCCAGTGTGTGGACGGGCTCGGGTAGTGACATACAAGGGTCAGTCATCCACGAGCCTCATGTGTTTGTGTATGACTGACTAAGTTATCGACAGGTCGAATTTTCTTTGAGGTAGACGTCTGGGTCGTGATGTTTACACGCAATTTACCTGACCGAGTGTGCTTAAGATGGAGCGTCAGTAGATACACCACAGATTGGCTTGGGGAGGGTGTACAGATTATTTTTCTGCCTTCAGCCTTGCCACTACATCAAAGTTACATTTCAGCTAGACATTTTATATTTTGCTTTGTTTTCTAAAGTTTATAGTAACTGAAGATAAAAACTATTACCTGTCATTTTGCCAATGAACAGCGGGCACTACTCAGGCGAGTGTCCATACCCGGAGCTAGAGGACGCCTACCCTACAAGGGGTCACAGCTCAAGGTCGAAGAAACCACAAGTTCAGAAAACTGTGAGGGCGAACTTTTTCGGAGTGAGAATTTTGAACTCTTGGAACAATCTGCTAGAGAGTGTTGTTAGGGCACCGAGTGAGAGCTCCTTGAAGACCAGATTTGACCAACATTGGAGCAGGTTCTGATATATTCAGGAGCCAGTTCATGCCCAGCATCTGCCAACAGTGCGTAACAGAGACGTGACCTACCACCCAAGAGGCTAACGAGACGATCAGTGGCGAAGAGGATAAAAGTATAATAGTAAAAGGCTAACAGGTTTTTTTTTCGTAAATGTTATTAAATTATGATAAAACAAATTTACCGGTGCTGACTGTGATTGTTTTAAACTTCGAAAACTAGCTCTCCCCATGTTCATTATTAATAAGCTTATATTAATAAATTCCCAAATTAATTATGTTGATGATTATGAAGCAAGTATGGAAAAGTGGCATGATCTCATACACAGAACTCTTCCTCACATCGTCAGACCTCTTTCCTTATTGTAGTCATGGGAGCCGGGATCTCCTGCTTACTATTGGTTACAGGTTTACCTTATAAATTATTATGAAATTAAACGAACTTACCAAAAAATGCTTTTAAAATACCTCCCCCCCTCCCTCCTCCTCCTCCACCACCGAGAAAGATGCCAATCATGCACCATCAACAAGTTTTTTAGTTTAACAAATGTATTGACGAAGTTTGGAGTACAGTTTGCCTATCCTGAGTAATTCAGTCAGGGTCAACACTGAGGGTGGTATACTTCTCACTGCCACGCAGGACAGAGGTTCATACACAAAGAAATACATCATATTCATTAACAGTATATATATATATATATATATATATATATATATATATATATATATATATATATATATATATATATATATATATATATATATATATATATATGGACTTGTTACGTGGAAAGCGTAGTTTCATAACGAAGAGAAGAACCAGGGAAAACACAAACATCTTGACTAAGTTGGGTTTCTTTAATCACTAACGTTTCGGAAAAATCATTTTCCATCATCAGAGCCTATGTAGTGGATATCTCCTCTACAACTACAACTGCCGTTTGTCGCTGACTAGCCGACCCCTCATTCTAGTTGAAGACTAATCAGTAATCAGTGTGGGCTAGCAAATTTGGGATAAACAGCAAGAATGTCCTCAAGCACCCCCGATTCAATGTAGTAATTACAAAGTTCAAGATACAATAAGTCAGGTGGCCTGAAGTCTTTGACAGTGTCACATTCATTAATATAGTGTTCAAGTGTATGCTTTAAAGGTTTATCACAAAGTTTACATGCTGAGTGTTCCGGTATGGGTACAGCGTCACTAACTTGCCAGATGTGTCTGTATCCTAGCCAAATTCTGGCCACGACTACATCACATTGTCTGATTCTGTCCTTATGCTGGCCATACCGGTACTTTTTGTCACAAAATTTTTCATATTTACTAATGCTACAACTGCCAGGTCTCTCTGCATCTCTGTTCTTCTAGATCAGAGTTCATGATTCTGACTTGAATGTTTTCAATTACAGCACTGGACAGGCCAAGGTCACGGTCAACATTTTCTTTCTTACATGCCTCATTGGCGAGTCTATCAGCACGGTCATGATACCTGATTCCAACATGGGACGGAATCCACACAAATTCGATAGGAAAGTTGTTCTCATTGGCAGTTATCACATTCCTTTTAATATCACATACAACTTTAGACATAGAGCCTGACGGGCTGTTCATTGATTTCAAAGCACTTTGAGAGTCACAGAATATCACCCCACCTCCATTTTCTTTAAGGTAGGCTGTGGCTAAATAGATTCCAGTTAGTTCAGTTTGTGTTGTGCTGACCCAGTTGTTCAGCCTTTGCTTGTTTAACACTATCATCTCTTTTTCTTTATGTATTACAATTGCACAGCCTGTTCTATCTGTGTTTTTCTGCACAGATCCACCAGTAAAAGCATAACATTCACTTGATTTAATACTCTCTATGTGTCTGTTAATAGTTTCTAGTGTGACACATCTCACCACATCGGTGTTTAACATTTGCTTACTACTAACAGGAGTGTAATTAATAGGAACTGATATATCCAGCCAAGGAGGAATGGCATTAATGGGTTCGTCTGGGGTGATTGGGACATTCAGTTTCAAGAGATCTGCAACACTTTTATGAAGCCACGCCCCAAAGAGTCTTTTGTGGAAGGTTAGCGAGATTGTCGGGATTACTTAGATAGAACATCAACTCAGTTTGAGCTGTAGTTTGGGGACCATTGTTCTTCAAAACTTTGACACAAAACATGGTATTAAGTAGAGCTATCCTCTGAGATAGGGAGGGCAGTCCGAGCTTTTTCCTCATGTTTACAATTCTGGTTGATTTTGGACAACCTAGAATGATGGGCATGGCTTCATTTTGCACTACCTCAAGGCTGTTGAGTTGTTTAGGCGGAATAGTCACAAGAGGGAGAGTATGATAGTCAACTACAGAACGAATGCAGTGAAGATAGAAAGTACGAGCATAGGTGATGTTAATTCCATAGCCCTTGCCAACAAGGGTTCTGAGGGGTTTAATGCGCTGCATTAGTTTGGCACAAAGGTTGCCGACAAAGTTTGCATCATTCACACAAATTCCAATATATTTATAGGAGCTACATAGTTCCAAGGGCATGCTGTTAATGTTAAAGTCAAGAGGCAGAGGGTGAGCAGGACGAGGATTGAGGACCCTCGTCTTGTCAACAAATATTGTGAGACCACATTCCACAGTCCTCTGAGCAAATACATCCAGCAAGGCTTGGAGCCTGAGCTTGGTCTGTGTCATAATGCAGATATCATCAGCATAGCATATTACAGCCTCGTTTGGCTGAACTGGAATGTCAGCAATAAGCCTGTGCATCAGTATATTAAAGAGCATATGACTTAACACTCCTCCCTGAGGCGTGCCAAGCTCAAATGCTCTCATTCTGGGATAGGTTACTGCCTGGCGCTTCGTCAACAGGCCGTCACCCTTCCTCACACTCCACAGTACTTGGTTGGGTGTAAGGCTCATCGTAGGCTTCCGTCTCTCCCCCATGACTCGTGTATCATTATTTCGATTTATACCATAGCTAATTATCAGTACCATAGTAAATTTACAACATGGGAGAACGATCACATTGAACATAAGAATGGAGAAAACTGCCAGGTTGCCAACTCGGATTTTCAAATGTCGCTAGGCTGGTACCTAAAAGTAGCTAAATGTCGCTAAATCTTCCATGGAAAGTCGCTAGCTATTATTCCCCCCTTCAGTAATTTGATGCAAATAATATTTTCATAATGCCGACTATAATGGACGGAGTATAAATAAAATGCATTATGTAAAAATAAAAATATTATTTTTTTTAAAGTTTAATGTGCACACTTACCTATTATTCAATAGTAATTGCATCCCAGTCCTCTTTGTAGTCGTCGGCAGTGTGAACAACTGTAGAGCTGGAAGCATGTGAAGTGCTTGGTTCAGGTTCTCGTGCAGATATCTTGTAACTGTATGCCTCCACAGTCCCTATCTTTCTTAAAATATCACTAGGAAGTTCATAACTTGCACAACAGGTGTTCTGTCTTTTTAACCCATACTTTATTGTAAGAATTGCCTTTAATGTCGATAGTTTCATTTTGTTGCGCAATTTTGATTTCACAAAGTTCATATTACTAAATGTGCGCTCTACATCTGCGTTTGAATGCGGAAGAGATAAGGCAGCGAGTGCAATTTCAGCCAG